GTGGGGTCTTTATTCAAAGTTTAAAATTCACAGAAATCCTGTTCAGTTATCAATTGGCTGAATAGTAGTTCTTTGTGAGTCCCTTAGATTGCTTTCGGACCGTTCTCAACCAAAAAAGAAAAAAAGATGAGGGAAAATGTGAGACTCTTTATTGCTGGTAATCAATGTTGGTGATGCGTGCAGCGAGCAGGAAGCAATAAACTAATGGCTCAGATTATAAAGTAGTGATGTGAACGAAATGCAGTTAGGGAATCATCTAAAGTGCATTTGTCTCGTTTTTTAAACTGCATTTAACATTGGTAGCACGTGGGAAAATGTGAGACTCTTTATTGCTGGTAATCAATCAATGTTGGTGATGCGTGCAGCGAGCAGGAAGCAATAAACTAACGGCTCAGACTATAAAGTAGTGATGTGAACGAAATGCAGTTAGGGACTCATCTAAAGTCCATTTGTCTCGTTTTTTAAACTGCATTGAACATTGGCAGCACGTTTATGACGTAAACGAGTCGAGTCGAGTCAAATACTCTAACGTTTAAGTTTGTTTAATTATTTTAATAAATTTAAAATTTTATTTAAATTTAACTTGTTTATTTGTCAAATTGAACTTTCAACGAGTTTTTTGTTAAGTTTAAATGTTAACGAACATGAAACAATTTTACTCAATCGAACTAGATTCGAGTAACTTAATTTATTTTTCAGCCTTGCACATTTGTCCAAAGAGTTTACCTAAAACAATCGATTGAAAATTACAACAACTTTAAACGATGAATACAAATATGAGAATCCATAAAATAAAATCAAGGATGTGAGCCAGTCATCTTTTAGCTTATTTCTGTCACTTAAGTTTGTACTATATCACTTGGTATAGGATTTTCAATCGCTCTTTATAAGTAGAATCCGTCCAAAACGTACAATTTTTCTTTTTTTTTTTTTAGTGAAAACTTGTCCAAAATGTTTTGTTTTACCATAAGACTTGTCTAACCAGAAGAATGTGTAGTGTACTACCGGTTAAAGTTCGGGTTGGGAAAATTAATTGGGGTTGGAATTTAACCAAGAGTCGTGTTCAAATAAGGATATGAAAATTAATAGGCACAAGGTTTCTCGAGTTCTGCAAGGGTAGACATAGAGATTAGAGGCTATTCAGCCTAACATATTTGCCTAAGAAATACTCCCTCCGTTCCTTATTAGATGGCCTGAATAACTAATTCTCTTAGATTAAGAAAGTTGGTTATTTTCTAAAAGTCAACAAAAGTTTAACTTTGCTTCTCAAAATTACCCTTTATCTCTCTTCATCTCTTCAACTACTTTTATTGTTAATGCTACAAATACTGCATTTAATTATTTAGAGTTCCAATTCAAGAAAGTTGAAAGGGTAAGCAAGGGTAAATTTGGAAAAAAGTTCATAAATGCTTTCTTGATATCATAAAATGACAGATAAAAAGAAACAATGGATTAGGACATCTAATAAGGAACGGAGGGAGTATAATGAAACAAGCTTTGCTTTGATTTGGTAACATTAATATTGTACATTTGAAACTAAAGGACAATTACCATTTACCACTACATTTTTCTTTTTTTGTTTCTCTCTTCCATTTCGTTCGTCCCAATTGCGTAACAGTCCAAAACTCCAAAAAATGATACTATAATAGAAACCAATCAAATTGATCAAAATATCATAAAGTCTATAAGATTCAATTGACACCTTCATAAAGAAGTGAATTAATTGTCCGTCACTAGGCAAAACAGAATACATTGCATTCCGCAACTAAAGCCATTTTTCTTGAGTGACCTTTATTGCTTCCATTTCTACAAGTCATGCTACGTCTAAAACACTTCTATTGGTCAATCGTTTAAGCAATTGGATGATCCTTCATAGGGTAAAGAAAATAATACTTGCAATAATGAGAGAGCAAAGGGAAAAAAAAAAAATTTTTTTGGGGAAGCTTCTTCACCGTTCTTTCCATTTTCTTTTGAGTGAATGACGAAAATGGTCGCTAAACTATTTAAAATAGCACAGTTCGATCATCAAACATCTTTTTTTTTTTTTTTTGGTTAAAAAAATCACTCAACTCCTTAAAATGGACCTTTTAAGTCATATCGTCCAATCTAGCTGGTAAACCAATTAGAAAGAACCACATTTGACCTGCTATTATAGATTTTTAAGGCTAAAAATGTCCTAAATTATAGGTTATTTCCAGTTAATTCAGTAGAAAATGATTCAAAAGGCCTGTTTTCTAACTTTTAAGGAGTTGAAAAACTTTTTTGCTACAAAGAAAGTTTAATGACTGGACCGTACTATTTTAGATCGTTTAATGCACTGCATTTTGTCCATGCCTAAGGATATCAGTATATATATACATGTTTGCATTTTAAGCCACAATTTTGGCTGAATAGCATCTATTGAATGTCATTTTAGGATTGGTCAAATATGTTAGCCTAAATTAATTGGCAATTAGAGTAGGACAGCGGGCCTTCCGCAGCCGACTGCCATTCATGATTCATTGATTGTTTTGGTCAAGGAATTCCCCTAAGTTTTAACTGCTTCTAGGTCGGTTAAGAAAGCCAATCTCCCATGCAAAAAAAAAAGTTACCTACTTTTGCTTCTTTATCTAAACCACACAAATTTTGTAGCATATGGCCTATGCATATGAATTCCAAATTCTTCTGGCCTATGGCAAGGTTATAAAGACAAAAGCAACACTAAGGAAAAAGAAAAGTCGAAAAGAATTTGGAATTCATATGCATGGGGCTGAATTTGTAGTGATTTTACATCAATTTACACCCCTAATTGACAGTCCTAAGGTAACCTACTTATACAAAAACTAGAAGAAAGTTAAAAATTACTATAGTGCATGATAAGTACCTACCAAGAAAATTATGAAGTACACTTGGCTTGAAAATACCCATCTCAAGTGATGATTTTCCAAATTCACTCGGCCATGTTTTTGAAAGGGTGACGGTCACATTTGCCAAATGCGACCGGAAATTTCAATATTTTCTACTTAATTTTAATAATTTTGGTTCATTTGCAAAAGGGTTTTTTTTTTTAAAAAAAAAAAACTAGCAAATTCATTTGGTATTTGTTAAGATACTTAAATGTACAAGAAATTTAGCGTGTGAATGCCAGTAATCCTGGCAAACACTAAAGCCACTTTTTATTTAACCACGCATGCTGGTAAAACTACTTATTAACTCGAGTACTGTTTTAGATGCTCTAGTAAACAATAATAATGTGCTTTATAAGAAGCCACCACAGTTGCAAATGGAATATTCTCTTTCTGAAGTAAATATATATATAAATTCAAGGGTAAAATATTGCTAAATTAGGTCATTATTATTACTCATAAATTGGAAATTGACTGGTCAATACCGACCATAAGTGACATGCCATTAATGAAGGTTGTCAACAATGTTGACATTTTCCTTCTGTACTGTATACTGTATATAAGTTCAGCTGTGTAATAGTGGGAAATACGTATATTGAAGTTCCTTTAATCATCTAGAAGTACAAAATGGTGAAGAGGTAAACACGCAAAAAAAACGAATTCTGGTGTCAATTGCGTGCCCATTAAGGTGAAATTGAAAACAAGTGAGTTTGGCCATTTGGGCAATGTTTGCGACAGATCATTGGGCAGAAAATGCGTGTCTTCATTGCTTTAATTTTGTTCATCGCCTTCAAATCTCAATCTCTATAAACAAGTTGTTAACATTGGGATCATCCTTTGACAAATTTTAGCTCCATTGGACGGCCTATGGTCTTGGCTGATCTATCCTTTTTATGACAAATTTTGGGATGCTTGGCAGTGTTTTGAAACCAGATCGAACCGTCTGGTCGACGCGGTCAAATCGCGAATGGAGTATGATGCCGGTCAAATTCAGTGATCAACTTAGAAAGAGTTGAATCCAATAAAGAATCAAACTTTTGAACGGTTTCAAACTAATTAATTTTTTTTCAAAGTTATATAAGTTACTAGTTAATAATTAAAAGAATAAAAAACCTTTGAACTAATGTGAACCGAAAGCTTATCCGGTTCACTTAACGGTCTGGTTTTGAAACATTTTGATGTTTAGAGATCGGTACAAATATCAGGAATGCGCATTAAAATTAATGATACCTTTTGTTACTATTTAGTAGATTGCTACGAGAATCATTCCAAAAAAAAAAAAAAAGAAAGTAAAAGTAATTAAATTTTGCCCCTTGTTAGTCCTTTAATTTTAAAATTGATTAGTTCATTAATCAGAATGAAACTCATTTCGGTTTCAATCCAAACGGTTGAGGGGTATAGTGCCAAAAACCCTATACCCATGTTGAGGTTGATACTTGCTATCCTATTTTCAATTTCAGAATAAGAACCAAACACCCCAACCACCATAATCTTTTTCTGATGGAGGCAAAATGAAATTCACTTTCCTCTTCCCTCAAAAATCATATTAATTACCTTGGCTTTAGGGTCCGCAGTCAACCACTGTTTATAGTGCATGTATCACACACAGAAAGTCAATAATTGAAGTGCTAAGAGACATTAATCCGCCAAACATGAAAAGACTATTTCTTTATCTTTGGCAGCAAGATGCCGCGCTATAAAATAGTGTGGTAAAATGTACACATCTCTTTCACTGACAATAATGCGTCATGGATGATGTTCAATTCTTGATCTTGCCACTGACAAAATGGATCAAGAAGATGCTTAAACTATTACCATCAAAGTTTTCTAGCATTAATTACTTTAGCTTTTCAAAATTTCTGACTGGGAATTAATTAACAAAAACAAAAAAAAGGCAAGAGTATTCAGTAAAATTTTTTCTCTCATCTTTTTATAAGGGCTACTCTTCTTCTTCAAATTCTAAGAAGAGTATTCAGTAAATAACCTCTTCATCTTCAACCTATCGTGTTCATTTTACACTTGATGGGCAGAATTGTGTTTAGTACACTTTCGAGTTTACAATTTAATAAAGCTAGCTTAGGATGATGCAATCAGAGGGGAAAAAATATGATAAGATAATGTGTTACTTCCCAGAAGCACCTGGTTTCTTGGCTTGATACATTTCTCCCTCTCTCTGTGGAACATGAATTCGAGGTCAACATTCAACATGTCTTAGTCTCTGACTATAACACCAGCCTACATAGTCAATTAGTCATATAAAAACCTTCCAGCCATAGATTGTTTTTGCTTTCTTGGCAAGATAATCACCCACTTAGCTACTAGTAGTTTTGTGTATATTGCCCAAGTTAGAACTTAGAAGCAGCCTAAACTCTTAATGAGTTTCACCACCCCTAGTTCTGATGAACTCCTGCAAAATAGGTTTCCACTAATGGAATCAAAGGATTCCTTGATGCTACCGAAGAAGATGAAATAACAAAGTTAACAGGCAAAACCATGTTGAGCTCTGAAAGTTCTTGCGCACACTATGGTGATTTGGATCCCAAAGACAACAAAACAAAGCCAAACAAAAGAAGATCGAGGGCATCGAAAAAGACTCCTATGATTCTCCTGAATGCCAACACTACGAATTTTCGAGCCTTGGTGCAACAGTTTACGGGCTGCCAGAGTGCTCCTTCTTCTTCATTCAAAGGTCCAATCAACTTGAACTTTGGAGGAGGAGGGAGTGAAGAAAATGATATGGACGTAGCTGATCATCAATCTAGTATCTTTGGATACAACAATTTTGTTCAAAACATTCAGGCTGATGATCAAGTGCGTGATCAGCAGCAGCAGCAATTAGAAGATCACGAACGTCTGTTATCTAGTGGGAGCTTTGATGGAGATGCTTCCCTTTCAACATATGGTAAACCTGAAGCTTATGCAACCGCCTTGGAAAATATAGGTGCAGAGAATGGTAACCTTTTTCACGATTTCCCAGGAGATTTTTCTTCCAATGTACTTCCAGATGATGATGATTTTACCTTCTGATGGTTCTGAGAATCAATTACCAGTAGAAATTTTTGTTTGTCATCTTCATCACTCAGATAATGAATGCTAACAGCAGCCCCCCCCCCCTCCCCACCCAAAAAAATTGTATTTTTCCTTTTGTTAGTCGTTTCATCCATGAACATATTAGTTTATAAATTCCTATAATATGATTATCCATTAACGGAAGAAATAATTTTCTACAGCTTGCTTTTTCCTATTTGTTATTATTATTTTTGAATATTATGTTTGCATAGCATCGTACCATATATGTTTAGTGTTTTTTTTTATAACTTTATATGTTACTCTTGGATTTAGGAAAGTGTAATATGATTTGCCAAGTTGATGTGGAGATATACAAATACAGGAAAAGTTTATATTGTCAAGAAACACAAGCTGCATCCATAAACACTCTATTTTCTTTGCAAACCATGAAATAATTGTATTAGCAATTCCAGGCTTACTGGTTGCAGAACTTGGTTCCATTAGATGGTATGGTAAACAGTCAGATCAGCCATATCATGTTTCTGGTTCGAGACACAGTGGTGTATATAACACGCGAAGGAAGAGAAGCTCCTACAAATCTCACCGCAAAACTAACCCTCCATCTGTCCGCTAGACTTCTGCATGTTCATCGACTGTGTTACTTCAAGGAAGATGAATTCAAAAGGAAATTAACACTACTCTTATGTCTAATTTTTTGCACATGGAATACAGAATGAAACATAAAGGGAGGATTTGGGACAGGTACAGTTAGCATTAAATGTTAGTTGGTGTAGTTGTACACATTTATTTAAATCAATGTACACAAATAAAATTTATCAATACATTGACGTTAAGTGAGTGCATACCACATCACGTAAAAAGTATAACAGTCTCACTAACAACATGTAATGCCGACTGTTGTTACACTTCTGACATGATGTGTACACCTACAAAACAACACGTCCATTGAAATTAGTGTACACGGAGAAAAATTTTTGAATTTTGCATTTCTTTTCCCTTCTTTCAATTTTCCTTGAAACTCTTAAAATTGTGACAATTATAAAGTAATTTTATGGAAATAAAGGAGACACTGATAAAATGTAATTTCATGAAAATAGGGGAGAAAGAAAGACAAATTTTGAAAATTTTTCTATTCAAAATCACAAGAATCATAGCAAACATCAAGTTAAAAAAGATAACTAGTTTGTTTTACTAAATTTTGTAATCATTAATGTTGTTTTGTTTGCTTACTTGTATTACCTAATTTATTAAATGTGAACTTTTTGAGTGCTTAAATGTGTGTATTAATTATTTCTAACTTTTAATTATTTTTATTTTTTTACTAATACATGCATAAGAGGTATTTATGGAATAAAAGTTTCATCTTTCTCCTTAAGTACTTTTTTAATGTTACTTTTTTTATTGGATTAACTTTGTTATCAAAACCTTCATCTCAGGGGAGGTTTGTGTAATTTTCTAAAATTTAGGGGAGGCTATTGAAATTATTAGAAACCTCAAGGGAGGTTTCTGTAATTATCCCTTTCGTCTACCTATTTATTTTTGGCAGAATCTGACAAGGCATATAAGAGAGAAAAGGCTTACTGCAGAATAAACTTCACTCCAATGAGTGCTGCTTTCTCTGTATCAGCAACAATCAGAAAAATGGCTAAGAGCATTTTCTTACCTCCTTCTTGGGCTCCGTCGACAAAATTGCCCATCTTTCAATTGTCATGTCGAGCAAATTTGAAGCAGCTTAACTCATCAAGAAATATTCATGCTTGTCTGCTCAAGTATCCTCTTGCAAGCAAGATCATGATTAGAAGTAAGTCATCCATTTTTATCGATTTAAGCAAAAATTCATTCATTTTTTTACTGGATTATGTAATTGTAACAAAGTTATTTTAGTTAGTATATGTTTGATTGTACTATCCACGTGGTTTTCTTCGAATTTGTTGTTTCCAATTGATCTTGTGCAAATATATGAAATTTCTGTGCTTTTTGTAAGCTCTATTAGTGTGGCATCAGGGTTTTTCTTGCCATCCGTGTTTAGCAGTTTCTGATTAATGAAGGATACAATTATTCTTTTTTGGTGGTGGGGTGGGGGTTGGGGAAGGGTTTTGGTGGGTTTTAAGTGGAAAAGAACGAGGACTGGTTTAAAGGGATTATAAGAAGGGAAGTGAATAATGATTTTGAGTTGGTTGTAAGGTGTTTGATAAAAATCCGTAGTAGAATAATTCTGCGCTCTGTTTGGATGAACTAAATGTTTATTTAGTATGCTTCTGAAGTTGTATGGATTGCAGAATCTAGGATTTGTATATCTGATGAGGCTAATAAGAGTTGAATCTTGGAGGAATGAGTGCAGTACAATGGTTATTAGCTAGAGTTGGTGTGTCTGGAAGATGGAAGATTATGTTATGTTTTATGTTCATCAAAAAAAAAATTGCTCACCTTGTTCCCCTCTCTCTTTCTTTTTTCTCTCAAGACAAAAAAGGCACTCCCCTCTCAATCCCCCCTCTCGGCTCTCTCAATTTCTCAATAACACACAACAATCATACACACATAAAACTCCTTTTCTCAGCTTTCTTCCTCTCTCGGACAAAAAAAAAAAAGAAAAAAAAAAGAAGAAGACGGCAAAAGAACAAGAAAGAAGTGTTACTGCCATTGAAGTTGCCATTGCCGGAGAATAGTCACGAGTTTCTTCAACAAATCTGCACCACCAGAATTCAAAGGCTATTAAGCTAGTTAAGGTAATCTTCTCATTTTCCTTTACGTAAATGCGGCCCTGCTTTCTGTGATTAGGCCCTGCTTAAATAATGACTGCTTTGTGAACAGGAGTAGATGGTTAACGTTTTTCCTTTCCTTTCATTTTTTTTCGTTTCTTTTTCTTTGTGGTAATTGCTATACTGGTTGTTGGTAAAATTTGGGACTCCAAATTTGCCCAAGTTTTATTATATATGTGAGTCAAGATCATGCATGTTAACTGTTTGAAAAAATGCCAAAATAGAAAATCGAATTAAATTGCTTTTTTTTGTTAATTTAAAGTCATAGTTGTATTCTAGAAATCATAAGGGTTGTTTGGTGTAGTTTTTGTGAATTTTAGTGTTGATTTAGGTGTTTTTTAAAAATAAAATCGCAGCTGTAAATTCACATTTCGAGCACTTTTTAGTCATTTTTTTGCAAAAGACATTAGCATCAAAGATATTCACATTTAACCTCTTACAGCCAGCCATTAACAACAGCAAAAAATAAATAAATAAATCAAAATCAAAATCAAAACTTGTCTAGCAAAAAATAATAATAATAATGAACCACCTTCAGATTTTTTACCTGCAACGTATAATTGAAACTTTCCAAGCATTAAGAGAAAAGGGGACGGCAACAAATCCTAATCCAAAACTTATATATTTTTTTTGCTAGACAAGTTTTGATTTTTAAATTTTTTTGGGCTGTTATTAATGGCTTGCTGTAAGAGGTTAAATGTGAATATCTTTGATGCTAGTGTCTTTTACAATATGATGCAGCCAAGCTGGCAACAAGAAAGATGAAGTTGAGTCAGAAACTGCATTCAGAAGAGCTTTGGCAATTGACTTGGTCCAAGGTTTATTCTTAAATATCTGTTGCACGTGATTCTTGCTTCATTTGTCTAATTATCTAGCAAAGAATTGAACTAATAGCCGAGGAGTCATTAGTGTTGTTAATTTACATTTGGTCTCCATGATATGATTTAGAGGAAAGAATCCGTGCTCTTGAAAGTTTCACGGCTTTAAATTGTATGTTTTTTGTTGCCCGAATGGTGTTATATACTCGTCAGCTTCCGTAAATTGCTGCTATATGACGGCTAGTATACATGTATATATAAGGTAAGCATTCAGGTTAATAAAGGTTAATTTTCCAACAATAAATTGTAGCCTTTTTGATAGTAAGACTTCTGAGGATGTTCAGGTCACTGCTTTCTTATTTTACATTAACTAGAAAGCTTCTTCATTCTTGTTTCATATTACTATCTTTCGTTGCTAAGCTTGATTGCTGTTTGGGCTACTTGCCTCATCTAAGATTTCGTGATAGAGTGTACAAGTTTGTAAATGGTTGAACTTGTACTTTATCCTGCATTATTTTTCAATGAATGCTTTCTATGATCAAAAGACAAAGATCCATCAATTTCACATGGTTATTTTTATGGTCATTAGCTTAAAGTTAACAATATACCAGTGAAACAGAGTTGCACTAAACCACTTTAAACTTAATTCTTTGCGTCACTTTGAACTGTCAACAAACTCAATTACTGTAAGTCAATAACCATATTAGTGGTTCATTTTATTTAAGTAATATATATATATATATATATTTTACTTGTAAATCTTTTTAGTGCTTGGCTCTATGTAACTAATGCTATGGATAGATGACTGTTTGCTAAGTATTTCATTTTTCTTCATGCTTCTACTCGTTCTGCACCATATGAAAGGGGCCTTTACCCTTTAGATTACCAATTGAGATGCTGAAATAGAACCTATAAAGAAAAGAAAGAAAGTCAATGCACCATATGAATAAATTACCATAGATATGCATGCGGATCTCTTTTTTTTTATTTATGTTTGGTATTGTTTACCAAATGTATCAGTGCAAACTACACAATGAGAAGCTGGTAATTAAGAATGTGAAGCTGCACTACTGCATAGTGCATTAGTATAGCTTATCTTGTCACAAATCCTTGTTTAAATTTAAAGAAAGGGTATCTTGATATTGGATGCGAAGTGGTCAACTGAAACTAACCTTATGGATCTAATGGTGTCTTGCTACTCTATCAATCTCAACATAATGTTATGCTTTTTTTGGTCAAAGGGAACAAAGTGCTTATTATGAAAGATTGAGGGTATGAGTAATTGTTGGACTATCAGTTAAAGGGTTAAATGTAGTTAAGCTTTATTTGTGTATAGAATTAGACATGAAAAAGAATTGTTGTCTAGGTAGAAATTGCAGTAGTATTGAGTCTAGTTGTGTGCAGTCTTGCTTCACAAATCCCTATATTACATGATCCTTACATCTGTTTGAAACAACTGGTCATACTTGTTCAACTCCATTCTTTTGTTGTCAATTGTGAGCTCAGCTAAAATTTTCTGATCATCCTCTAGTATTTGTTTAGCTCTCATAACCGATATGCTATTATCTAGCCACAATTAAATATGCTCAATAATAGCTCGATTTGAATAGGACTTGTGAACTGCTGATGGTGAGAATATAGGATTACCTTTTGCAGGTAGAGTTTTATAATTAAAGATGGAAATCAGGACCATAAAAGGAAGCTCTTCTCCACACCGACCTAAATGGAGGAAAATTGCTTATGGAGGGATGCAACCTGGGTTTGAGGACAATCACACTGATGAGTCCTTTTTAGAAGATATGATCATGAATGCTAATGTTGTCAGAAGGAACTTCTTAAGGGTGATGCTAGATTCAGTTTCCATCTCGGAGTATCTGTGCATTGTTGCTCTTGTGGTCTTGGTTTGGACCTATACACTTAGATCTACATTTGCTGAAGATTCTCTTTTGCTTCTTGACGTTAGCCTTCTTGGTTTAGGTTTCTTCATTCTTCTGTTGACTGCAGAAATGCTATCTTTTAATCTTCTTCTTAGTTATTTACTTAAGATATCCTTCTTTATAACAGGTTTATATCTTTTGTCTCCTATTTACCAAACCCTCACCCGCTCTATTAGTTCAGATTCCATATGGGCTCTAACAGCTGCACTTATCATACTTCATCTCTTCCTCCATGACTACTCAGGACCCACAGTAAAAGCTCCAGGGACTGTGGAAAATCCCACCTTTACAAGCAACATCTCTTTAAATGCTTCTATTGTGGCGTCTCTCTTGATTGCTTCACGCCTTCCATCAAGACTTCACGTCTTTGCCATTGTGCTCTTCTCCTTGCAAGTTTTTTTGTTTGCTCCACTAGTCACATATTGCGTAAGGAAGTATTCTTTCCGCTTACATCTCTTTCTTTCCTTTAGTTTAATGTGTCTGACATTGTTTTTTATTCATAGTTTGCACAGGTTGCTTTTTGTGCTATTCTTTGTCATTTTGGCTTTCGTTAATGTGGTCTGTCCTTATTGGCTGATTAGAATTCAGAAGTACAAATTTGAGATCAATGGTCCTTGGGATGAAGCTAAACTTTGCTTTAACATTACAGAATAACAATTTTTTGTAACTTTTGAGGATGTTTTGAGAATGATGAATCCTGAAGATCAATTGTAATGTCTTTTGTTGATTGTGGTAATTTAAATTCTCTTTATGTGGCTCATTGTAAACAGGCTTCTGATGCCTGAATTTAAGGTTGTTGGGAAATGTTGGCAAAAAAATCATTCTAGACGCATGCTTATATTTGGTGCTGATCTTTACATTACCAGAGATGGTATGGACTGGTTTATTTCCAATGAGAAGATAAAAGGCTATAAGGCCTCATCATAGATTAGTGTACTAAAATCGCTATTAATTTTGATGAGACAGCTATTCCCGTAGTTGGTTTTGCTCTACTTTTTAAGTGATTTGCTAAATTTGGTTAGCTATTAAAGTGAAGAATTATGGTTTGCTGTGCCGAGATAAGCAAAAGATATTGTGCTAATGGTCTTCACAACTTTAGTGTAGAATAGCCACATATCTTTCCTTATCTTCAAGAGTAATTAAATAAATTGAGTAGCCATGTACTTATCCATCTTTACTTGGATTGTACCTTTCCTGCTTCCTGGATGAATAGGAATCTGGGGCCTCTAGAATCATAGAAGTTGTTGTACAGAACAATTTGTGGTCAAGAGCGAAAGCTTTTGAAAATACACAGTTTGGATTGATGCTGTACACACTTCTGAACAAATTGTACCTACAAATTCAGCATTTTTTTTAATACAGATGTACATATAATTTAGGCTGAAATTGTTCTGTGATGTACGTTTATTCATTCTGACGGTTGTACAGGCTCACTGAACCTCTAAATCTTGCAGCCTATAGAAGTTTGTAGGCCAAGGAACATTAAGGTGGTTTTTTTTTTTGGGGGGGGGGGGGGGGGGGGAGGAGAGGAAGGGGGTTGAAGGAGAAAATTTGAGCTTGACACTGAAAAATAATGATGAACTGCAATTATAACGTCCAAAGGAACAGGTTTTAAAAATAACAAATAGCTTGATTTATTTTCTGTAAAAAGTGCATAAGCTACATCAACGATAATAGTAATAGCAGTAATAATAACAATAATGATGGGGTGAACAGAAGGGAAAGAAATGCGGCTATGTTTATTTTGATCCCATCACAAATGTATCCAGAAGATTAGACTAAGAATCAAATCTTGCTGGGGGGAACATTTGATGAAGAAGCCTCTTCTGTCAACTTCTTGGCATGTTCCTCCAATTGGAGAAGCAGGTTGTCTATCTTTGCCTCCAGATTTGTTACCATTTCCATGTCCATTTGATCAATTGGCACACCAGGCCAACCAACAATGCCATCCTGGGCAAAAAGTTCATCCAACTTCTTGGCTCGTTCTTCTTCAATCTCTTGTTGAACTTCAAGCTCATGAAGTTGTTGCTCGAGCTGTTCAACTCTAGCTCGAGCAAGGGCCTCAGCAAGTTGATCTGCATCGTCCCTAGGCATGTCTCTCCCCAGAAATCGATTGAAAACTTTGTCTGCATTTGGATGGAAGAAAGAGTGTGGCTCACCAGTTGGAGAAAAAATTATGACTCCAATGTCAACTTTGCATGTTGTGCAAAGTTCACTTGCTTCCATGAAAAGCTCATCTCTTAGTTTGTAAAAAGTAGCATACAGATCATCCTCCTTTTCTATCTTTTTCATCTCAATTTTTTCACGACCTTTCATCTGCTTATCTCCCGTGAGTTTTCAACAAGTGAAATCAGGAATGAGTCTCTCAGTTCTGTATGCAAATTTATAGTTGAAAGCCAAGGGATTGCTTAATTATTATATTTTATAATTAGTTTTAAAGTAAATGAAAAGATTTAGTGGACGTTCTATCCATATTTGTATACGTTTTGTCCATATTTGTATCCGACTCTTTTATAATTAGTTTTAAAGTAAATGAAAAGATTTAATGGATGTTTTATCCATATTTGTATACGTTTTGCCCATATTTGTATCCGACTCTTTATAAGTAGTTTTAAAGTAAATGAAAAGCTTTAATGGACGTTTTGTCCATATTTATATACGTTTTACCCATATTTGTATCCAACTCTTTTATAATTAATTTTAAAGTAAATGAAAAGATTTAATGGATGTTTTATCCATATTTGTATCCAACTCTTTTATAATTAGTTTTAAAGTAAATGAAAAGATTTAATGGACGTTTTATCCATATTTGTATACGTTTTGCACATATTTGTATCCGACTCTCTTATAATTAGTTTTAAAGTAAATCTTTTATGCGTTGTTAGTGTATACATTAATTGATCTAGATGCACACCATATATGCAAAATTTGATATTCAAATTCAAGATGAGATGATATAACACGCATCTAAATCCATCATTATATGTACACACTGACAGTATATAAAAGATTAATTCTTAGTTTTATTATAGTTTCTCACTCCTCTAATAATTTTATCTTTTTAAATAAATTTGAATTATTTGTTGTTATAGTTCCACTCTCTTCCAACAATATCACCTCTTTTGATGAACTCGTATGGTTTTTAATCATATGGATTAGCTTAGCATAATAAAAAAAAAATTAACTGTTATATGGATAGATTTACCAATATTATTGGTTACTAAATATTTGTTGATGAAGAAAATAAATTGTTGGATCTTTTGTACTTAATTAAGTATAAATATGTAGTTGTAGGTTTATTGTCATTATAAAAATTTTAATTCTCTAAAAGAATGTCTATTAAAAAACAATATTTATCGATTTTTTTGACATGCATTACAATATTTGATGAATACTTCTATATTATAGTAAAATATGTAAAGAAGTTTTTAAAAATTAGTATGATAGATAAACATTTAAAACACATTAATTTTCTAAATGAATATAAATGAATGTGTACGATCATTTCTAAATTTTTTTAATTTTAATTATTCATGCTTGTACAAATTCACAATAAATAGACCATGCTAAGGCATGTGGAAAATAATAGTCTCAAATTGATAGAACAAGATGCTACCCCCTCAAATTATTGAATTCCTGGACTAGTGAGTAATAATTTTGATGAAAGTGGAAAATTTTCTTTGGACTCCAATCTTAGAATTGCATATCAGGTTTCATAAATTTCAGACAAATCTTCACTGAGAACTCCTTTTTTTTTTTTTTTGAGGAAACTGAGAACTCTTTAGATAAAAATCTCCACAACATAGAATAACATTAAAAAAGGTCCCTATTTGTCTTGAATTCTAAAATATACATTAAAAAAAAAGTAGTATTAATTTATTTTGTGTTTATTTCACCTTTCTGCCAACCAAATTCTAGAATGATTTTAAGGATTAAACACATTTGTGTGAAAACTAGCTATTTTCATGAAAAAAATTAAAACAGAAATTCGCATTTGTAACCAACAATACTATTTTTTTTCCTTTTTTAATGTTATAAAAGTTTGAATGGCTTCGATTTCAGTCGCCTTGCCAACAACGGTCACTTTTGTTGTCGAAGTTAAGTCTTAGGCCTTTATAGTACCATTAAGAGTTTCCGTACTGATAATAAAATTCATACTTTCTGCAAAACAAAAAGATATGCAAAACAAGTTGCATGATAGCAATTCCCTGCTCATTTGTACAAAAAGTTTCATCCACATTCTTCCACCCTTGAGCTAAAATTCTCTGCATCATGATTATTCCCAGCTTGGCACCTCCTTCTTCCAACCAGCTTCATCCAGAATCTTTCATTGTAGGTGACAGTTAGAAGCACCGGATATGATCCTTACTGCACCACTCAACCAATGTTGCTTCATTTTCTGCCAAAAAAACAAAAAAAGTATCGCATGCTGGCTTCATACAGATAAGACTAGGAGATCAAAGCAAGAATGATTTCAGAACATTGGCAAGAAGAACAGAAATCCCAGTTCAATTCCTCAGTTCAATTCTAATTCCCCAGTTCAATCCCAGTTCAGCCGCATGCAACCAAAGAATTGGATATAGAAGAATGCACCATTCAAGGGACTTGTAGATTTACGGTTTTGAAAGAGTCTCATTTTCGTATATCAGCATTTGAAACAATCCTCGATGAACAACATATTTCCCGCAGCAGTTTCCAGCATAGAAATTTGAAATTGTCACAAATATCTTTGAAAAAAAAAATTCAACTTCTTTTTAAATTCTCATTCCTTCCAATTTAAAAATATTCTGCATCAGAAGAGTCAAAATTTAACTTCACCTCATGTTTCCCCCATGGGACTATGACTTGCTGAAAAGGGACCGTGGTCCAGCTTGCCGGCAAAATGCAATTTGACATGTGGGGGATCTTCTAGGGAACAGTAGTATCTTCTGAGTAAGCTGAAATTTCGTGCTCAAGCCGCCGACTTTAGAACTTAGATGCATTCGGTTTAGAACGCTACCATGCTTTAGAATGTAGCCTATCATTGCAAGCTCATCTTCACAGCCTTCAAGTTCTTCAAGTGAAATTTGTTTCAGGCTCGTTATCAAACATCTGGGAACTTCTATGGGATCCCTCCAGCATGACTCTATAGTGTGTTCTCTATGCCAATTCTAATTACCACAAAAGCAACTCTTCAAAACATCTATACAGATTTGAAAAAGAAAGCATAAAAAAGATTCATCCTTTTCCTCTGGGTAATTTTCTCGTTCCAAACTAACCTTAAGCATATCAAAAGCATCTAAGTTGCCTACCTTTGTGAAATCAAGAACTTCTAAATTTACTGCCGCTTCAACCAAATCCTGCAGGCAAGTCCATTCACAGCATCCAGCTCCTACTACCAATTTGGTTAGTCCTTCGAATCTCCTTGTTGACAAGCAGGTAGTGGCATAGCTCAGAGCCTACATAAAACATCATTTAGCTCGCAGCTAGCCCGCTTATTTAACTTGATCTGTGCATTTAGCTACAATCTTTAATTTAGCGAACAAATCACAAAACACTGGGAAACATAGACGACTACGAACATCAAAGCCTAGTGAATTTAACGCGTAGGCTCCTGACACAATAATTTTGCAGTAAGTTTACAACAGAAGCTGGTACACTGTCCTCAACATTAAGAGAAAGAACTGGTAACTTACATTCATTGTCTTCTGTGACAAAGTGAGAATCTTTACACCGTGTAGTGCCTGAACCAGTTCCACAAGTGAATTGCAAAAAGCACTTTGAGGTGGATCATCACCAGGAAAAGCCTCAACATCAATTTTTGCTCTAACTAAAGAGGTAATGTTCTGAAAGTTGACGCCAATGTGCTGCCATATGTGATTGGAATAATCAAGGGACTCTAGTGCTGGGGTATTTATAGCAACCTTGTAGTGAAGATTTTCAGGAAAGTCATCGGGACCACGAAAACGGAGTTGTTTCAGTGAAGGTGAAGATATTACAAAAACTGTCACATTATCAAAGCTGCATCTGCAAATATCCAGGAATTCTAGTATTGGACAGCCAGATATGAGCTTACTGACGGATTCATCATTTCTGTATTGAACGTCAGAAAGCGTTAGACGTTTTAGTCTAGGAAGACAAACCAAATTTGGTGTATTGATATCTAGATTATCCCACAATTCAAGATCCTCTAATGTTCTGCAAGTAAATAGGCAACTAGGCAATTCAATGACAACATCAGCACGACAATAATAAAAAACTTGAACTTTCAGCACTCGGACATTCCGGATAATTGCAGTGCTGATCCATGCATTGACATAGAATGGCTCAATGAATTCATTTCCACAAAGACGGAACTTGAGTATATTCTGCACAGTACTTAGAAGCAGAACCTTATTAACAAATTGCTCAAACTTTCTCACTCTTTCTGGGCTTTTATGAAAACGATCATCATCGAAAAGAAGGTAGGGGACTCCAGTCCACAGGAATTTCCATCTTTTAGATAAAATACTTGTTCCCACAGCATATTTTGTTGTTGGCAGAAAAGAAAGAATGTGACAGAGAACTGAATCGGGCAAACTGCTAATCCTATCAACAGAAGCACCAGCATCCATTTCACTTGACAGAGTTAGACGCTTCTGGCTTGGATTTTCTGTAGAATCCAAAGTATTTAAGTAAGCCACATTGTCGCATCTTTAAGAAAGACAACTTCTTTTTTGCCTACATATTATACACTACAATGCATTGCCAAGCATATCTAAACCATAAAGTCCAACAATATGGGGTGAGGCATATATACTTTTTTCCGAAGGAAAGGCATCTAAGGAAGTAGAGCACAGTGTTAATAATTTCTTTTTCCAAAGAAAACCACTGAAAACAACGATAGAAACAAGGGAAGCCTTGATTGGGGGAAGAGAAAAAAATAGACAAACCAAGAGTATTACCCATAAATCTTTCTGGGATTTTCTCTTCTTTCAGAGAGAAGCTGAGAATTACACTGCAAATCCTAGCCGGAAGGCCTTTATGATCCCTAATGTTTCCAACTTTATTTGCCCCAGATCTTCAATGGGCCATCTGTTTAAAAAAAAAAAAAAAAACAAAGAAACATAGCGAGAACAAGGAAGGACTCTTGCAAAACTAAAAAAAGCGGTCAACACTCTAATTGTGATGGTTTTGGAGAGAAGGGTCGACAGCAGAGTTAAAAAGCAGAAGTTTCTGCAGCAGAAGACCGAGAAAGCTCCTCAGAGACCACAGTCCAAGCCACAGTAATCTCTAACCGGGCAGGGTCACGGGGGGTGAACTGTTTAAAATTTTTTAGGGATAATTTAGGTTTCACA